GTGAGGAATCTTTGGTCATTAAGTTGTGTGATGAGCTCATCCACAACAATGTTCCATGTTCAATGTTCAATGTACTCTCCCCCCTTCGGGGGAGAGTACACCGCCCTGGGGGCAGCCTCTAGCCACCACTCCTCTGGTCACTTCGCTCACAGTGAATTGTATAGCTCTATATCTTAGCATGCTGTCGATCCACCCTGACATTGTGGAATCAACACCATGCCTAGACAGAGCTTGGCTAATGCTGGTGAAGTTGGTCTTGTCAAAGGCTCCCTCGATATCGATAAAGGTGGCCAGTGTTGATCTTTTGTGATTTAGATTGTCTTCTATATATGAAACAACTCGATGTAGGGCAGATTCTGTTGATTTACCCATCGAGTATGCGTGTTGATTGAGGTGTAAAGGGTGACTGACTAACGCAGTTTCCCTTATTTCCCTATCTATTAGCCTCTCGAGAGCCTTTAGTAGGAAGGATGTGAGAATGATAGGTCGGTGTGATTTGGGTTGTGTGTAGTCACCTTTACCAGGTTTGGGGATGAAGACTACTTTAACTTCTCTCCATTTCAAGGGGATGTACTGATGCGCCAGGCAGCCCCTATAGATTTTTACAAGATGGTCCAGTAGTGTCATATCACACCATCTCAGTAGGCCTGGGAAGACACCATCTAGTCCTGGCGCCTTGAATGGTAGGAAGCTGTCAATTGCCCATCTTAGTTTGTCATGGTTGACAACTTTGCGGGCCGTATCCCAGTCTGTATCATCTGGTGGTTTTCCCATCTGTCTTCCCATTTTTCCATCGCATCTGATATGCGACATCCAGGGAAGTGTGTTTTTAATAACAGCTCTGAGGCTTCCGAGTCTGTTTTGGTATACTCACCATCAGGCTTCTTCAGTGAGCCAAGATTGTGTTCGCCTCTACTACACAGTATGCTTTTGACTCTATTAGCCTGGTTGTTGTTCTCTATGTTAGTACAGAAGTTTCTCCAGCACTCAGTTTTCCTGGTTCTGATTCTCTTCTTATATTGTTGTCGGGCCTGCGTGTAGGCATCCCAATGTTGGTCTAATCGCGAGTTTTTTGCTTTATTGAACAACTTTCTCACTCTACGACGTAGTCTTTCCAGTTCCGGACCCCACCATTGGTGTTTGTTCTGTGGTCCAGTTCTGGGTGTGGAAAGTGGGCATGTTTGTTCAAAGCAATCGATCAGTGTCTGTGTAAGGTTGACGACATGACTGTCAATGTCCTTAACAGTCCCCGTAGGGTATGTTGGGTTGATGCTTCGCAGATTCTCCGCAGTAAGATGTTCATACCGTTTCCGGTCCATCGTGCGGGGATTCCGTCGGGGATTGGGTAGTTTAAGTTTCATTTCAAAGTTAAATTTGATCCAGCGATGGTCTGAGCACGATGCTTCGTTCGAAACATGCCAGTTCGATATGTGTTGCGATGCGTGCTCACTTGCTAATGTAAGATCAATTATAGTTTGGGCCCTGGATGTGACAAATGTCGGCTCCGAGCCCACGTTGATAATGTTAAGGTTAGTTGATAATAGGAACGATACAAATTCCTCACCTCTCTGGTTGTTGCTCTTGCTGCCCCACAGCGCATGGTGCGCGTTGGTGTCGGCAGAGATGATCAGCTCCAGACCCTCGCGCTCGCAGTGATGTGCCAGCGCAGCCAGCTCCGGAGTGGGGATGTCAGCATCGCCCGGCAAGTAGGCTGATGCTATCACCACTTCAGGCAGGTTTGATGAGGGAGGTTTCCTTTAACCTAATAGAGGTAAGGTCTCTGGAACAGAACTCGGTCATTAAGGTAGTACACGCATGTTTTGGTGTATAAATACAAGTGCACGGGTTATCAATGGTAGTGTTGAGAAGTATCTTACCTCCAATATTGTTTAGACCGCAGATCCTGCCCTCCCTAATCCACGGCTCCTGGATTAGGGCTACGGTGTTGGTTTTTACCTCCAGCTCTCTGCGTAGGTTAGCCGTTGCTGTATGGCTGTGCTGGAGGTTGTTGTATGTGTGAAAAATTTATGTCTATTAAAAATTAAAAATAACAAGTTCTCACAATTGCCATTCAGTAAAAAGATTAAAATTGTGTCTAAAGGTGATGGCAAAAAGGAAATGTAACTCGCAAGTTTCATGTTAAAAGTTATGAAACGTATAACTGGCTGTGTGGTTGTGTACACACGATTAAATTATATTGTTTTCCTTGCATATTGTTTAGTAATTCTAGTACAGTGTGGACCGATCCGGGATATTCAGATTTAAATAATTTCTATTCCGCAGCAAAGAAGCATGACCATACAGAAAAACATCTGGAGGCCTGCTTAAAATTAAATACTTTTGGTAAATGTCGTATTGAAATGAGTATCAACAGTCAGTTACGATTAGATATTGAAAGGCATAATGCTAAAGTCGATCGCAATAGAAACATTTTTCAAAGGCTGATCGATGTTGTTTGCTTTCTGGGAAAACAAGAATTAGCTTTTGGCGGTCACGATGAGTCAGTATCGTCGTTGAACTGGGGTAATTATTTAGAAATAGTAGATTTATTAGCCAAGTATGATGGAGTTTTAGAAACCCATTTACAGAGTGCAAGTACCTCATTCAAGGGAATGTCGAACCGTACGCAGAATGATTTGATCTCGAGCGTTGCATTTGTGATGATCGATCGCGTTAAAAGCCGAAATTAAACAGTCCGATTTTGTCGCCGTCATGGTAGATGAGACTCCTGATGTTAGCGGCCGTGAACAATTAGTATTAGTTTTGAGATATGTTCGTGATTCTGAAGTAGTAGATCGATTTATCAAATATGTTGATGTCAGCGCGGATCGGACCGCTGTAACCTTGAGTTCTATAATTTTGGAAATTTTAGAAGAGTTCGATTGTGTATCCAAATTAGTTGCACAAACTTACGACGGGGCAGCAGTTTTATCCTCACAAATTAATGGCGTGAAGGCTTTGGTGAGACAAAAATGTCCACAAGCTATGTACGTTTGGTGTTCAGCACATATATTAAATTTAGTTTTACCGAAATCGTTCGAACGAGTTGCTGAAACAAAACGCTTTTTTAGTATTATAAAATCAATCGCGGCTTTTTTTCACACCAGTACAAAGCGAATGACCCATTACAACAATTTTGCCGATATGAAAAAGCTGCCTCGTGTCGCGAAAACGAGGTGGACATATCACTCGCGCACGGTTAGTATAATTAATAATGCGTCCACCCACCTCCTAGAATTTTGTGAAAATATGAACGAAAATACACAAGACTGGGATGGTGAAACACTGATAAAGGTCAGTTCATTTTTATTTATTATGAAAGAATTTGAATTCAATTTTCTTTTAAAATCTTTCGCAGATATTTTAGCAGAAACGGATATTCTGTACGATATTTTGCAAAAAAAACTAGTGACATCGCGTATTGTGTAACAAAGATAAAAGAGTTAGAGTCATTTTTAGAACGTTTCAGAGAGAAGTTCGAGATCTATTATGATGCCGCCGTTCACTTTACCGGACCACCTAAAAGAATGTCGATGATGTAAAAATACATTATCGGCGATTTTTTCTTGAAATAATTGATAATGTAGTCAATGAATTAAGAAATCGCTATAAAAATATTAAAGATTTAAAGTTTATTGAGCTACTTTCTTGTGAGAATTTTAAAAAATATAGTGAACGTTTCCCTGAAAATGAAATCAGAGATTTCACTAATAATTATCAGGCAAATTTTGATAAATTGAAAAATGAATTGCCCTGTATTTATAGATCACCTCAATTTGCAAATAGTTGTGTATTTAGTATTATTCAAAATTTGTATAAGGACAATTTAAATAAAGTTTTTTCTGAAGTGTTACGATTAGCGAAATTCATTGTGACTATCCCAGCAAGCAGCGCATCGGCAGAGCGTTCATTTTCGTGTTTAAAACGTATCTACACATATTTGAAAAACACACAAAATCAACAACGACTCACAGAGCTTTCCATGATTTCTATAGAAAAGGCATTATCATAGAATTAAAACGCAATCCAACTTTTTATGACAATATCCTAAAATCATACTTAATTAAGGATAGGCGCATAGATTTAATCTATAAATGAATGAGTAGTTTGTTTTTTTTACTAACCCGTAGTTTTATTATTAAGTTTTATAGTTATATATTTTGCGAATCACATGAAAATCGGCCCTTTTAAAGGCCACATCGGATATCTTGCAAGGGACGTGTTCTGTAACTATCACTGACTTGGAAAAGATATTTGAGGTGGCCGAAATCTTTTGTTTACATCGGGATATATTAATCTCCAGTAACCGGAACCTTGAATATGTGAAAATCAGAAAATTGAAGATACAACTATTCAATAATACTTATAATACTTCTCCAACAATAATACTTCTCCATACAACTATTCAATAATACTTGCAGTTGGTTAAAGTTTTTTCTCAATGATCTAATATTTAGGTGTATAATATTCAGTCTGTTATCCGTCTGTAGTATTTCCTCCTGCCAGCTTTTTATGCTTGTAAAGTAGATATATGTAATATCAGGTTTTATGTGTAAACTTTGGTCGTCGAATTTTATTATTAGTGGTAATCTCTGTGGTAGAATCACACTTGCAGTAGGCATGTTATTTTCCACTTATATACATATTTATGTCGCTCAGTGTGCGTATCGCTCGTATTTTTTTATCATTTGGGTCCTGGTCATGTTGACTGATACAGATTGGCTAAAAAGCTGAGATGCACATTTAACTTTCATTTTGGCTATCTTCTCAGGCACAACATGTTTGTCAGTTAATTTTGGCATTAACCCTATACTGGTAAGACAGGTCTTCTTTGTACAACTGCAAAACATGCTCCCATTTTGCAGTTTTTTCTTCACCACCTATATTACATTTTAAATTCTTTGTAAGTAAATTATTACGAATCCCCTTTAGAAGATGTGGGGTATCATATATAGGGATAATTTCTTCATCATCAATTTCGAACACCTTATTTCTTTGTTCTATATTATTAGATAATTAATCGCACTGACATGTGCACAGCCCTGGTCACAAATGGTCCCCATAACCTTAAATCCTGCTGAGTTCAATTTTATTATAATATTTTTTATTTGCGCTGCTAGCTCAGCCTTGGATGTACTACCAGCGAAAAAAGTATACGCAACAGCTTGTTTGTAATTATAATATATGCCTCTAATCATGAATACCAAAGCATGTTCAGCTATTTTATTGTGCGTGACTTCTCCATTGTCGACAAAACCAATAATTGCATCTCGTTTTCGGTTATAATCAAAATGGGGTATCAATGAAATTTCGTCAAATAAGAGCAAACAAAGCTTTTGTTTTGTGTTCATCTTTTCAGCTCTAATCTTTAGTTCTTTAAAAATATTTTCATTTATTCCAGCTTTCAATGATGCTGTGGAGATCATTCTACTGAGTGTTAGGGGGGATGGTAATATAAAAACATTTCTGAGCCATCTGTATGCTCTTGGTCCCTGTTTATACAGAGCTAATGCTAAAACCTTTTCTTCTTTCTTAAATCTCCTACCCATTTTTAATTTTTTGCTTTCACGAAACTGCATCTTGCTTACTGCCTTTTGGAATGTTGCATTTTCGGATAATTTCAAAGCCCTTTTCAACCTTGTCGCCATGGAGTTCTTGGACAGTTGGAGCTTGTGCAATTTCTTTTGAAGCCAAGATGTTTCATTTGAGTACCTCTCAGATAAAGGCAGATTTTTTGCACCTGTAAGGTAAAAATAAAAATAAGCTATACAATATACTTCCAAGATAGTCAAGTGATGCCATAAATAATGATTATTCCAAATACTCTTTGGCATAGTCATTATTTCACAAATCCCAAACATTATAAATATGGTTATTCTTAATACTTATGACTTTCATTTATTATTTTAACACAACCTCTAAAGACAAATATAAACATACAATAACCATAATTTACTTTATCAGTTATCTTCTTCTTCATCGTCTGGCTGGTTAGGCCTGGAGTCAGTGTTTACAAGCTGCCCTTCTGACCTCTGACATGGCTTTTTTTTTTTTTTTTTTAACGTGTGGAAATCCCCTCGGACCGTCACCCCTCCGGGGTTTGCGGCGGGGTGGTATGTCGGACTCGGACCGACTAAAACCACACGGTGTGCCACTCTGCGCCTGTAACAGGAGGGATCCGGGAACAGCTGTTGTTAAGACATCCGGACCCCTCCTAGCGCCAGCCCGCTCCTGGTGCGGGCTCCGTCACAATATTTTTCCTCTCTTTAGGCGACGTCCGGCACACGCAGACGCCGCCCCCTCGCGGCTGGCCAAACTAATGCGTGTGGAGGGGAAACCCACCCCGTCCACCCGCGGCCACACTCAGGGCGGCATGAGGCGGTGATAGGCGGGCCTCAGCCGCCCGGTTCGCCGGCGGCGGATCGGGTCCGAGTGGAGGTCGTCCTCCCGGGCCCTCTCCGCCGCCTCTTTCCACAAGATTGCATTGTCGCAGCAGGTTGCGACCGCGGTTAAACAACTGTCGCTACCGGCCATGGAGCGTACTACGGCCGGCAGCGAGAGATCCACTCCGATGACTGCGGTGAGGGCCCGGCTCTGCGCCGCCCATGCGGGGACGTACCGTACGCAGAATGATTTGATCTCGAGCGTTGCATTTGTGATGATCGATCGCGTTAAAAGCCGAAATTAAACAGTCCGATTTTGTCGCCGTCATGGTAGATGAGACTCCTGATGTTAGCGGCCGTGAACAATTAGTATTAGTTTTGAGATATGTTCGTGATTCTGAAGTAGTAGATCGATTTATCAAATATGTTGATGTCAGCGCGGATCGGACCGCTGTAACCTTGAGTTCTATAATTTTGGAAATTTTAGAAGAGTTCGATTGTGTATCCAAATTAGTTGCACAAACTTACGACGGGGCAGCAGTTTTATCCTCACAAATTAATGGCGTGAAGGCTTTGGTGAGACAAAAATGTCCACAAGCTATGTACGTTTGGTGTTCAGCACATATATTAAATTTAGTTTTACCGAAATCGTTCGAACGAGTTGCTGAAACAAAACGCTTTTTTAGTATTATAAAATCAATCGCGGCTTTTTTTCACACCAGTACAAAGCGAATGACCCATTACAACAATTTTGCCGATATGAAAAAGCTGCCTCGTGTCGCGAAAACGAGGTGGACATATCACTCGCGCACGGTTAGTATAATTAATAATGCGTCCACCCACCTCCTAGAATTTTGTGAAAATATGAACGAAAATACACAAGACTGGGATGGTGAAACACTGATAAAGGTCAGTTCATTTTTATTTATTATGAAAGAATTTGAATTCAATTTTCTTTTAAAATCTTTCGCAGATATTTTAGCAGAAACGGATATTCTGTACGATATTTTGCAAAAAAAACTAGTGACATCGCGTATTGTGTAACAAAGATAAAAGAGTTAGAGTCATTTTTAGAACGTTTCAGAGAGAAGTTCGAGATCTATTATGATGCCGCCGTTCACTTTACCGGACCACCTAAAAGAATGTCGATGATGTAAAAATACATTATCGGCGATTTTTTCTTGAAATAATTGATAATGTAGTCAATGAATTAAGAAATCGCTATAAAAATATTAAAGATTTAAAGTTTATTGAGCTACTTTCTTGTGAGAATTTTAAAAAATATAGTGAACGTTTCCCTGAAAATGAAATCAGAGATTTCACTAATAATTATCAGGCAAATTTTGATAAATTGAAAAATGAATTGCCCTGTATTTATAGATCACCTCAATTTGCAAATAGTTGTGTATTTAGTATTATTCAAAATTTGTATAAGGACAATTTAAATAAAGTTTTTTCTGAAGTGTTACGATTAGCGAAATTCATTGTGACTATCCCAGCAAGCAGCGCATCGGCAGAGCGTTCATTTTCGTGTTTAAAACGTATCTACACATATTTGAAAAACACACAAAATCAACAACGACTCACAGAGCTTTCCATGATTTCTATAGAAAAGGCATTATCATAGAATTAAAACGCAATCCAACTTTTTATGACAATATCCTAAAATCATACTTAATTAAGGATAGGCGCATAGATTTAATCTATAAATGAATGAGTAGTTTGTTTTTTTTACTAACCCGTAGTTTTATTATTAAGTTTTATAGTTATATATTTTGCGAATCACATGAAAATCGGCCCTTTTAAAGGCCACATCGGATATCTTGCAAGGGACGTGTTCTGTAACTATCACTGACTTGGAAAAGATATTTGAGGTGGCCGAAATCTTTTGTTTACATCGGGATATATTAATCTCCAGTAACCGGAACCTTGAATATGTGAAAATCAGAAAATTGAAGATACAACTATTCAATAATACTTATAATACTTCTCCAACAATAATACTTCTCCATACAACTATTCAATAATACTTGCAGTTGGTTAAAGTTTTTTCTCAATGATCTAATATTTAGGTGTATAATATTCAGTCTGTTATCCGTCTGTAGTATTTCCTCCTGCCAGCTTTTTATGCTTGTAAAGTAGATATATGTAATATCAGGTTTTATGTGTAAACTTTGGTCGTCGAATTTTATTATTAGTGGTAATCTCTGTGGTAGAATCACACTTGCAGTAGGCATGTTATTTTCCACTTATATACATATTTATGTCGCTCAGTGTGCGTATCGCTCGTATTTTTTTATCATTTGGGTCCTCTTTTTTTATCAAAACTTTATTGTTCTGAATCCATATATACTTATACGTTGACTTTAGCTCATTTTTAGCTGTCCATAAGAGGTTACGCATATACTTAGTTAAATCCTCATTGATGTAGATTCGTTGTTTGTTTCCATTAGAAAAAATGTCTTCATTGTTGAGGTGATGCGTTTTTCTTGTAGCTAGCAACTTGTCGCGAGTGGCACGCGTGTTCAGGTTGATTAGGATCGGCCGTGGTTTCGACCTTCGATTTTCTCGGCGTTTATTTTCAGGGGAGAAGGTGTCTGAGGACGTTGTAGCGGTTTGCGCAACGGTTTTTTTATTTTCTTCTCCTACCCTCCTTGCCTCACATATTAGTCCCTGATCCATTCCAAGTTTTTTTGCTATACTTTTCACGTTATCTTCAAGATCTTCATTTTGCGCCTCCTCTAACCCAAATATTTCCACATTCTTTTCTCTTTCACGTATCTCTAAATATGTAATTCTCTCTTCAAGCGCCTTATTAAGTGTCTCTAAATGAACATTTTTATTCTCCAATGATTTTATTTTTTTGTCCGTCTTCTCTTTCTCTTCTATCAGCTCTTGATACTTTTCAGCATAAAAACTGATATCCTCGGACATGGCTTCCAGCGTTTTTTTCATTACGAACACTATTGCTAATTTCTCGTTGACCTCCGCTAAGAGTTTCTCTGGGGTGGTTCTCGTAATTTTTTTTTTTTTTTTTTTTTTTTTATTTTATTTATTCATATCGTATCGAGTAACAAAACTCATAGTTATGTCTACTTCTATCGCTGATTGGCAGGTATTCGTAGCCTGACACTCATCGCATACATACATTGCAAGTTAAATCAAAACATGTATTAAAACCAATGCAGAGCTCATCACATGCTACACCTGTCGACTGCACAAGTAAATTAAAAATAATGTTTGATAACTTACTTGCCATAGCATGGTCCAATATAAAAACATTTCTGAGCCATCTGTATGCTCTTGGTCCCTGTTTATACAGAGCTAATGCTAAAACCTTTTCTTCTTTCTTAAATCTCCTACCCATTTTTAATTTTTTGCTTTCACGAAACTGCATCTTGCTTACTGCCTTTTGGAATGTTGCATTTTCGGATAATTTCAAAGCCCTTTTCAACCTTGTCGCCATGGAGTTCTTGGACAGTTGGAGCTTGTGCAATTTCTTTTGAAGCCAAGATGTTTCATTTGAGTACCTCTCAGATAAAGGCAGATTTTTTGCACCTGTAAGGTAAAAATAAAAATAAGCTATACAATATACTTCCAAGATAGTCAAGTGATGCCATAAATAATGATTATTCCAAATACTCTTTGGCATAGTCATTATTTCACAAATCCCAAACATTATAAATATGGTTATTCTTAATACTTATGACTTTCATTTATTATTTTAACACAACCTCTAAAGACAAATATAAACATACAATAACCATAATTTACTTTATCAGTTATCTTCTTCTTCATCGTCTGGCTGGTTAGGCCTGGAGTCAGTGTTTACAAGCTGCCCTTCTGACCTCTGACATGGCTTTTTTTTTTTTTTTTTTAACGTGTGGAAATCCCCTCGGACCGTCACCCCTCCGGGGTTTGCGGCGGGGTGGTATGTCGGACTCGGACCGACTAAAACCACACGGTGTGCCACTCTGCGCCTGTAACAGGAGGGATCCGGGAACAGCTGTTGTTAAGACATCCGGACCCCTCCTAGCGCCAGCCCGCTCCTGGTGCGGGCTCCGTCACAATATTTTTCCTCTCTTTAGGCGACGTCCGGCACACGCAGACGCCGCCCCCTCGCGGCTGGCCAAACTAATGCGTGTGGAGGGGAAACCCACCCCGTCCACCCGCGGCCACACTCAGGGCGGCATGAGGCGGTGATAGGCGGGCCTCAGCCGCCCGGTTCGCCGGCGGCGGATCGGGTCCGAGTGGAGGTCGTCCTCCCGGGCCCTCTCCGCCGCCTCTTTCCACAAGATTGCATTGTCGCAGCAGGTTGCGACCGCGGTTAAACAACTGTCGCTACCGGCCATGGAGCGTACTACGGCCGGCAGCGAGAGATCCACTCCGATGACTGCGGTGAGGGCCCGGCTCTGCGCCGCCCATGCGGGGCAGACCGCCAGCGTGTGCTGGGCCGAGTCCTCACTGCAGTCGCAGTGGTGGCAGGCGGGACTCAGTTCCCTCCTAGCGACCGAGTGCAGGTACTTTCCGAAGCAACCGTGCCCGGAAAGCACCTGCGTCAGCCGGAAGGAAAGGGTCCCGTGCTGCCGCCCTGCCCACTCGGCGATGACCGGCTGGAGAGCCTCCACGGCGGCGAAGCCAGCGCGTGGACTCTCCAGCCGGAACGACCAACGAGCCATCGTGGCTCGGCGAGCGGCGTCGCGCCACTCGCGCACATCCTCGGGCGGAGGGCGAAATCCGCTCTCCGCCCGGGAGTCAGCCACTCGCCGATAAACTTCGGCGAGCACCTCCGCCTTAAAATCCCACGGGGGAGTTCCGGCCAACGCGCATGCCACCTCCGTCGAAACGGTGCGGTAACCGCGTATGGCTCTGACCGCCATTACCCTCTGAGGGCGCCAGAGGCGTGCCCTATTCTGGGCGGTCAGAGCCGCCGCCCACACCGGTGCACCGTACAGTGCCATTGACCGGACAACCCCCGTGTACAGCCGTCTTGTCGCGAAGCTGGGTCCACCCAAATTGGGCAAAAGTCGCCCTAGGGCAGACGCAGCGCCGACCAGCTTTGGAGCAAGCTGTCGGAAGTGCTCGTCGAAGAGCCACCTCCCGTCGAGGATCAGGCCCAGATATTTCATCTGGGCCCGAACCGGTACGAGGACCGAGTTGACCACGATTGAGGCGCCAGGGGGTGGAACACGACGGGGCCCATGAAATAACAGGGCCTCCGTCTTATCTAGGGCCACCCGTAAGCCCAGCGCCTCAATGCGCCCGACCACCAGGGAGACTCCCCCTGTGGCCAGGCGCGCCGCCTCTTGGAAGTTTGCCCCCCGGGCTGTCACCAGGGTATCGTCTGCGTAACAGATTACACCCAGCCCGGGGGGGAAATCGGCGCGAAGGGCCCAGTCGTACCCTATGTTCCACAAGAGGGGTCCAAGAACAGACCCCTGTGGAACACCGCACGACATGGGCCGACACCTCAAATTACCCTCTCGGTCCTCGTACACGACGGTACGCTCCTCTAAATAGTCTGCCACTAGCCGCCTCAGGTATTTTGGCACCCCATGATAGTGGAGTGCTTCCCTGATGCAGCTGAATGGCAGACTATTGAATGCGTTGGCGATGTCTAATGACACCGCCGGAAGGAAGCTGGGCTGGAGAGTCTCCGTAAGGGGGGGGCCCGACGCGCGGTAAGGGCGACCCCAGGGGTCACGATTAAGACCCTCCAGCATCTCCTCTCTCTTTTCTTCTTTGCGCGGCTAATGGCCAGCTTCAGAGTTTTCCGCGCCTGTCGGTACTCCTCATGAAGCCGGTCCTCCTCACCGTCTCCACGGTGACGCCGCCGACTGCGCGTGTAGGACCTCCGGGCACGTGTACAGGCCGCACGGAGGTCCGCCAGCTCCTGGGACCACCAGTAGACCTCCTTCCTTGGAGGCCAACGACCTCGAATGCGGGGCATGGCCCCATCGCAGACATGCGTAATCGCATTGCGAAAGCGACCAGCCCCCACGTCGACCTCCTCGGTCGGAGCCTGAGGAGACAGCCACGAGTGAATTATAGCTGCCTCCTGTAGTAGGTCCCGGTTCAGTCTGGCAACAGCCCACCGCGGAAAGCGGGATAAACGCCGCGCCACGTGACCCCTACTGGAGTCCTGGGTCCGGGAGAGCTCAAATCGGATATAGAGATGATCCGAGAGCGTCTCAACCTCTTCCAGGACACGCCAGTTCCTTACTCGTGCGGCGAGGGCAGGGGTAGCGAACGAAAGGTCCACTATCGACCCCCCTGCTGTCGCACGCACGTGTTGGTGGAGCCTCTGTTGAGAAGACAGAGGCCCACCGAGGCCGCCCACTCCTCTACGGCCTCGCCCCTTGCGTCCGTCCTGGGGGAACCCCACGCAATGGACTTTGCGTTGAAGTCCCCCAGCACAAGGACGTGCCCAGACGCTAGTCGCCGTATCGAGGTCTCCAAGCTGGTTAGGAAAACCTCGAAGTCGCTCAAACTCCGGTTGGGGGAGAAATAAACACCATATATGGTGATCCCCCCCCACTCGGCGGCAACATATCCAGTGCCCTTGTCTCTTAGCGACAAGGGCGGGGAATGAGCCGCCGTGGAACCGACGACTGCCACGGAGCCCTCCCAGTCACCCATCCAGTTTGGACGGGGAGGGACAAAATAGGGCTCCGCGACTACGGCAACACCTATCGACCACTGTGCCATGGCTTGCAGGAAGAGATCCTGCGCCGCGGCACAGTGGTTCAGGTTCGTCTGGACCAGAAGGTTAGAGATTTGATCCATTACTGGATCGTCTCTACAACCTCCTCCATGGGCGACGACGTCGACGCAATATTGACGTCGGGGGTAGCCTGGGTCGACTGGCTAGCCCCTGACGTCTGCCGAGAACTGCGGGGAGGCTTGCAGCCTCTCTGCCCCATCTGGTGATTGGCGGGCTTATTGCCCGCCGCACACGCTGGGCAGTGAGGGGCGGCAGAGCATTCTGCCGCCTTATGCCCCGGTTGACCGCAGCGGAAACACAGTCCGCCGCAGTCAAAACAGCTATCGCACTTGACGCGCGTGTGTCCCGTGGCCAGGCATTTAAAACACCTCATCGGTCTCGCCGCCAGGACTGTGATCCTGGCGCTCACGAAACCGATGAGCAGCCTGCCGGCGTCGGCCAATACTTTGGCCGACGCTGACCCACACGGCGCCAAGCCCTCCTGGACCGGGGCGGATGGTGCCGACCCTGACGTTGTCCGCGCTGCACCCCGTCTTCTCCCGGATTACAGCGCGGACATCTTCGGCCGTCACTGAGTCGTCCAGGCCCGAGATGCGCAGTTCCGCGCACTTGGTAGGCCTGGCGACCCTGACACCATCTGTGGTCGCAAATATTCCCCGCAGCCTCTCAGCAAAGGAGTCCGGCGTCTTTGCGCCTTCAGCCCCAGGGAACTCGAGTACTCGAGCTCCCGTCTGGGCGAGGCGCATCCTGACCCCCACCGTCCCAAAATCGTTGGCGAGGCTGTCCCGGGCCTTTTTGAAGACGGCCGCGTAGGACAGCCCGCCGTCAGCCGCCTCCGGGGACACGGTCACCACTACAGCCGCGGTTTTGGGCGGCTGCAGCTTCCGCGGCCTCTTTGTGGAGGCCGTTGCCACCGGTGGCGAAGGCTGGGCTTGGGCTGCTTTTTGGGCAGCCCTTTTGGCCCGCCTTCGGGACTTCTTGGAGCCCTTCGCCTCCTGCCAACCCTCCTTGGAGGGGGCAGGTGCGGAGGGGCCCGGCAGGGGTGTCGGAGTGGGGAGCGGAGGGAATGCCACTCCGCTCCTCGGCGCTGTTTTAGGCCCCGTCTTGGCCGGCGCCTGGGGATGTGCCTTGGCCGGCGCCTGGACTGGTGCCTTGGCCGGCGTCTGGGCCGGTGCCTTGGCCCCCCTCCTCGGCTTTTGGGGAGCCGATGGAGTAGGGGCAGACGCCGCCGCCGCGTAAGAAACGCGGCCTCCCACCACGGGGAGCGTGGTCGGAGCGGGGGCCTTAGGCCGCTGTGCCGACGCGAGCGGGGGGCGCACAATCGGCGCAGGGGGCAGTCTCGCCTCCAGGCCAGCCAGGCGTCCGTCCAGCATATTCCCAACTGCGATGAGGAGGAGGAGGACACCTCTGACATGACTTGTCGCAACCTTTAATATAGCAACTAGGACCAATGGCTTAACGTGCCTTCCGAAGCACGACCAGACCGAAACAAAAAGCACAAATACTTGTTCCGCCGGGAATCGAACCCGGTACCTTTCGTGAATCAAGCTCAAGCTTTCTTGTTTTTTCGTTAAAATGTTAAAAAATATTGTTAAGATTCATAATTTAGTGACTAATTTGCTGAAAATAAAGACGTTGTTTAGTAAACAATACGATAATACAATTTCTTTCATCCTACTAATATTATAAACGCGAAAGTTTGTAAGTATGGATGGATGGATTTTTGTTACTCTTTCACGCAAAAACTACTGAACGGATTTGGATGAAACTTTACAGTAATATAGCTTATACATCAGAATAACACATAGGCTACTATTTGCCGCGATAACCGACATATACGCGGGCGGAGCCGCGGGCAACCACTAGTTAAACATATTAAAACATGAGTTTTCGTGTAAAATGTAGGTAGGTGGGCCGATTTTTGTGATGACCAGTGTATTTTAGGTATGTATTTATGTTTTAGGTTAGTAAAACCGAGGTTATACTAAAAATGAACTAGGCAAATCTTATTTGTAAAATCTGAAGTGAGAGATAATCCTACTAATAAGGTTACTTTTTAATCTTACCTTTCAACACAGGAGAATCTGTTGATTTGTTCTCCACTTTTTCAAAGCTGGCTTTTGAGGTAGACTGAACTAGTTTCATACTTTCAATATTACATTTAGAGGTTGATGGAAATCCTGAAATAATGATTATTACTTTTTAATTATCATTTATGACATTTGTTAATTTCTCTAGCTATTTGCTAAGGTGTATACAGTTGTATTTTTATTTTGAATGAAAGTTAATAAAGTTTAAAGAAATTATTTTAAAACTGATGTACAAATAACCCTGTATGATACAAATGGATACAACAAGGGACAAAAAGGTAAAAGTGCTAATTAATAAATGGCATTAATATCAGCATAAGATGTAAAATAAACTTAATATTACCATCAAGCACAGGTTGCTTAGTTGATGTCTTATCATTGTTCGCTTTAGAGGTAGATTGATAATCGGTTTCAACATTTTCCAAATTGCAGATAGTATTGGTGATATTTTTCAAAGGAAGGCTCTTAGAGATTGAAAACCCTGTAAATATGTTATACATTTTAGGAAATGAATGGTGATCATATTTTTATTTCAACAAAAAGCTTACCGTCTTATTATAAAACGTGGACTTAAAAAGTACCCGTTTTAGTACTAGGTTTAAACCATGAACTTGAATAAACGTTATTACAAAAAGAAGTTTATCGCTAGTCCTAGAACTATCTATGGTATCAAAGTTAGACCATCGTGACCCCTAGTTTAACTATGGTACTAAATTGTCAAACGTCATATTCTTAATTTTTAGGTTCGCTTTCGGAAAGGAATTTATGATCAGAAAACCAAAAATGGATATTGATGCAATTGATATGTTTGACTTGGAAGATTTCAATGTGTTGGATATACTAGAAAGTTCCCGGGGACCGAACAGAGTTCGTCAGCGTCGAAATCCCTTTGAATTACCTAATGAAGATTTTCGGTATAAATATAGATTTAGTAAACGTTTTGGCGAAAGGATTGTCGATTTATTACGTGAGGATTTATCCCACGATCCTCGAGGATGTCCGTTAAGCCCCGAAATGCAAGTAGCTTGCGCACTACGCAACTGGGCTCGCCATGAAGTAAGTTGGTACCTTGTAATGTAATTATGGCTAATGTGCGTCATCAATGATGTATTACTTTATAATTGTTTTTTTTACAGATTCAAGACGATACTAGTGACTTACATGGCGTATCTCAGCCAGTTATAAGTAACACCTGCAAGAAAGTGGCAGGTTTATAAAAATGTCTAGTACATATGATGAACAAGAAGCAGTGATGAAGAAAATGTCGCAGTATTGCGGATTTCCCAACTGTAATAGGTGCAATTGATTGCACCCATATTCGCATTAAAAAAATAAGAACTGATGAGGGTCAGACGTACATTAACAGAAAAGGTTTTCCATCAATCAATGTGCAGGTAACTTTGATTTTTTTTATTTAAAATGGATACAAACAAAGCTTATTTTTTTATTTATTTCTTGGTAATGTAATGCACTGTTAACATTCTCATGAAATAAATTGTAAAATAGAGTAAATTAATAAAAATTCTCCTTTCAGGTGGTTTGCAATGCTGATTTAAAAATCATGGATATTGTAGCTCGGTGGCGTGGCAGTGTCCATGATTCTAGAATCTTTAGGGAGTGTCGCTTGAAGCAAAGATTTGAATCTGGAGCGTTTTCTGGCATCCACTTAGGAGACAGTGGATATCCGTGTTGTAACGGTGCATTTCGCACCATTAAAGAAAATTTATTTATCGACGCGTTTTTGGTTTGACGGTCGAATTTTATGACGTTTCAGTGAGCTCCGATTGACGGTGTCACGGACGAGAATAAAGGTCGGTGCTGATCGTCTATGGTAATGTATCGATTTGGGTTTTTCTTGTTCTGGCAACATTTTTCTGACGCGTTATAGTGAAGAGCGTAGTTTTGGCTATGGCAAGATGGCCGTCACTTTGGTCCTCGGCCCGTGTAAAACTAGTACGCGGGGCGATGTATTTTTTTTATATTAGTAATCCATATTTGTTTGCTGTAAACTAAGGCATAATTCATCTTTTAATGTTTGGCCAGTCTCGTTAATGACACGAGTTATTTGTTGGAATTGATATTTTCATTGTAAAGGTAAGTCTTGTTAAGCCGCATGGTTCATGCTTGGCTTATGGAGATTAGTTGTTTTAAATCTTTGTTTATTTGGATACAGGAATTAATTATAATGCCGCGGCTTTGTTTGTGAAACGTTTTGGAACCCTGGTGAGTAAATTATTGTATCTTACCAGATTTAGGATTCATCTTTTGAGATAGGCAAATAACCTATAATTTTCATTGTTTCAGATAACAGGGTTCTTTTTATTCTATTTATACCTTAATTTCTATTTATACCTTATTTTCTTTACCTTACTTCAGATTTTTACTTAACCTCTAGTTCAATTCTCTTATTGGATTGTAATGTCATTACGTTACATTTGGATTTTGCCTCACTACCTGCCCGATCCAAGGATTTAGTTCGCTCCGAAGTGTGGATTTCCCTTCTTAAGTACCGCTAATGGCAGGAAAAGCCCTTTGGCTGTAGCCCATTATCAGGATCTGCCTGGGACCGGAGCCAGGACGCTTGGAATACTTACCCCGCCACTACAACCACGTGGGAGCACGAGTGAGCTTTATAAGAGTTATTTATACCATAATTTCAAACGGACAGAGCCAGAGTCATTTGGTACGTTTTTTTGTTGTATTAATTTGGTCGGCGTTGTCATAACGGATACTGCAGGCTCTAAGGGGTGTTATTTTTATTATGGGAGTAGGTTGTTATGATCACTACCCATGAATCATTACCTATTTAACAGTCTTTATGTGACTCTAAAAAATATTTACTTTTAATTTGTATTAACAAGGTAAACAGATTGCATTATAGTACGGCCGCTGAGTTATTACCGATTTGACACATGACGAATTGACAATACTAGTGAAGTGACTGAACCAGTAACCCTAATATCATTTGGGAACAGTTTGTTTTTAAATATTCTAGGATAGTGTGTAATTAAATAAAATCAAAACAAATAATAGTTAAAGACACAGGTTCTTTATTAGGTGGAGTATCCTTGATGGGCGTGGATAATTGGTCGAGGACATATCAAAATAAAACAAATTTGTAAACACTGTTACATGTTAATTAACAATGATTTATTGAACATACTTAATATAATATTGGATTATAATGGCAACACTGCTTCGGTTGTCAAGCAAGGCTCTGTAGGTTATACGCACTCCTTTATTGTTTAGAGATATTAATAAAAGACACGTTTTATGTCATTGTATCTTTAATTATCCCCTTAATCCTTAACAGGGTTATGTGCCCAGGACGGCCATCGCGTTTTATAGTGGATTAAGTGTTAAAGGACAGAAAATGTCAAAAGAAAAATATCAAATTGTCCCTTTCGCGGGGGACAATTACAACGCGTGGGAATTCCGATTGAAAAGTATCCTGCGGGATAATGGAGTAATAGAGGCGATCGAAAAGGAGGACTTTAGTAAATCTGCGGATAAGAAGCAATTGGAAGCTAAGGCCCAGGCTGTCATAATAGCGGCAACCGCCGACAGTCACCTCGAATACTTAAAGGACAGATGCTTATCAAATGATTAAAAGCATGGAAGACAGTTTTAAGAAGAAAGGTACAAGATCTAAATTATTTATAAGAAGAGAGTTGTCCGATATGAAATTCGACGAACGGAAACCTTTAATGGAACATTTTATTGACATGGAAAAGCTATTTGCACAACTCGGGGATGCTGGCAGTGAGCTCTCGGAGGAAGAGAAGGTTAACTACATACTCCTATCCATGCCGAAATCTTATGAAGGCATTATCACGGCTTTGGAAACTGTGGAGGAATTGAAAATGGACTTCGTGAAAAACAGACTGCTTGGGGAAGAGGAAAAACGCAACAGAGGAGCTACCAAATCCCTTAACTCTTCAATCTTCTTGTGTTATAGATGTGGACGCCCTGGACACAAAAAAATCCAGTGTAGGAGCACTCAGCAGGCACCGCACAAGGCTGGTGACTGGAGACTTCACGGCCGTGGACGTAGCCACTGGAAATACAACGGAGGCCGAGACGACAGTAAGGCAACTCATTACCAGACCCAAGGGAGAGGTAGAGGAAAGTCATTTCTTACAGGCACTGAAAATACTGAAGGTAACAAATTTGTAAGTTTTGTATCCTTTAGCCCTGACACCGAACAGCAGAATAAAAATAGTTTTAAATGGGTTGTTGACTCAGGTAGTTCATTTCATCTTGTAAATGACATTAGTTTATTCTTTAATTATTGTAAACTGGATAAGCCAATTAAAATTTCAGCTGCCAAAAATGGCATTGATTTAGAGGCTGTTGGTATAGGGACAATAAAAGGTTATTTAAGTGATTTTAAAGTTGATATTATATTAAATGATGTGTATTATGTACCACAATTAAGAAAAAAATTATTATCTGTTTCCAAAATGGAAAAGCATGGTTTAAAGATCATCTTTAATAAAGGGGAAGTTAAAGTTTTCTCACAAACCAATGAATTGCTTATGGTTGGGCATAGACTAGGGTCCCTTTATTTTATAGAATTTCAAGTAATATTTAATGATTGTTATTACGGTGCAAAATCAGACACCAGTGATAATTCAGTAGAAATTTGGCACAAACGATTTTCTCATTTAAGCTATAGTAGTTTGAAAACTTTAGTAAATAAAAATATGGTTGATGGTTTAACTGATTTGAAAGAAAAATTTTTAGAAAATAGACATTGTGAACCATGCATTCTTGCTAAGATTACACGCCTTCCTTTTAATGGGAAAATGTATAAGGCTCGGAAACCCTTAGAACTAGTACATACCGACGTTTGTTCTGTTAGCCCTTCTACGTGGGACGGGTATAAACATTTTGTTACTTTCATAGACGATTTTACCCACTTCACCGCAGTTTACTTATTAAGAGACAAGTCTGAAGTTTTTGAATATTTTAAGACTTATTATAATTATGCTTGTAATCATTTTGGTCATGGTATATTGAAGTTAAAGTCAGATAATGGTGGTGAGTATATTTCTAGAAATTTTAAATCTTTTTGTGATGATAAGGGCATAGTATTGCAGTATACTGCTGCATATAATCCCGAGATGAACGGAGTAGCTGAAAGAATGAATCGTAATCTGACTGAAAAAGCTCGTGTATTATTGTTAGATTCACAGCTTCCTAAAGAGCTGTGGGGCGAGGCCCTGCGATATGCGGTAAATGTCACTAATCGTAGTCCCACTGCTTCGCTCAATGCTACACCATTTGAAATGTGGGAGGGAAGACGTCCTAATGTTTCTAATTTTAGAATATTTGGGTCATCTGCGTATGCCCATATTCCCCAAAAACTCCGAATGAAGTTAGATCCTCGTGGTGTGAAATTGAAAATGGTTGGGTATGCTCCTGGGGGATACAGATTATGGGATGCTAATGAAAGGAGGATATACATAGAACGAAATGTATTGTTTAGGGAAGAAAC